TTATAAAGATATTGTCTCATTAGAAATGTTACACAATATTTGTGTATTTATCATAGCTGTTTTCCATATAATGAACTATCATGCCTACCAGTTTATAACACAGGTTTCTGTACTATATTGCTATCCATGCAAGGCTTCCTGACCAAAGTCCCTATAATGTTATCGTGTTACATGATATTCTATCATGCATATAGCTTTATTCCATTATAATGAGTATAGTGCCGACTAATACTTACACTTACACATAATATATGGTACATGGTGCGTGATAGGATATATTATAGCTCACGAAATTCCTATAATGCAAAGTGGTATGATGCATCTTATGATCTTTCCCATCAAACATATTCAGCATCTGTTGGCCATAGCTCTTCAAAGTTGACTTTTACAAGTGAATATATGTGTCAGAACCCAGGCAGGCTACCAGCACTATTTATAAATCTATGTGTTTACTATCAGGAAAAGACCATGCATTTGCTGCCATTACTTTGGATGATAATTGTCCTGATGCTCACAAATGGTATGCATTATGTGTTGGAAGTAGTGGACAGTATGAATCTACTCAACAAAGAATTACAAATGGATTCCTCTATAAGGTAATCTATGTAGTCTAATGTATATATTTAATTTCAAGTTAAAAAAGTGTTATCACATGTAATAACCTTAAATATGAAATGATGTGTAACAGCCTAATAGGATATGGCAAGCAACTCCTGCAACATGAAAACAGTTTTGGTAATAAGTTATACATTGTATTTATAAAAAAAAAATACAATTGTAAAAAATATGTCTTATACCCCCGGTATATATATTTATTTGTTTTTTTTCAAATTAACCTTACTGTACTGTGCATTACTGTAATGATGACTCTATTGACCCTACCATGTTAAGTACAATTCTAAATATAGATCAGCATTTAAAATAGTTACAATGAAAATTAAACATGGGCACTTTGTTATCCATCTGAAAATTTGAAAGAATGTAATATTGAGGATTATTTTCTCTACAGCCAAATGCTGTCAGTAAGTATATGTAATAACATTTTGAGGTTCTCAGTGTGTAAATATTGTAAAATGTCACTCAATTTGTAGGAACATATAGAGAAAGCAATCAGGCTACGACCTACTGAAGCATCACTGAGACATTTCTTAGGAAGGTGGTGCTATGAAGTAAGTAACTATCCTTTTCACATGAATCCAACTACTGCAGAATAATTTTCACTTGGAATTAA